GGATGTAGCTTAAATGAAGAACTGTTCAGGTGTGACATTAGTTGATCTGCTACACACCTCTCCGCAATCTTTGACACTACAGGGAGGATGCTGATTGGCCTGTAGTTTGCCACCTCATTTGAATCTCCTGATTTGAAGACTGGCGTCACAATAGCTGATTTCCATACTGCTGGATATAATGCTTGTTCGAAGGATGAATTTATCATGTTTGTAATAGGGTTCGATAGAGTCTCTTTGTGTTTTTTCAACAGTAGTGAGTCCTGTTTGAAAGCGTCTTTTGATTTGGAATTTTTAAGACAGTCTATGATTTTATTTACAATAAGGTGATAGCTTCAGTGGTATTGAGATAGGATCCCAGTTTTTATCTGTTTAATGTTTGTTTTTTTCTTTTTCACAAAAAAATGCTTTTTTCAGATGAATTTAACAGTTTTTCTTGAGTTCTAAATCAATTTTTATAGAAAACGGTCGTTTTAACTTTAAGTCAAAAATATCTACAATTCCTAAATTATAAATGTATATTGACCTAATAAGAAATATAATTTTTATTGAACCTATTTGAAAAGAAATTTCCTTTCATGCAGCTCTCTTAATATATTTGAATCCTGTGCCCTGCTTTTTATTTCATGCTTTTCTGGGCCCTCATGAAAACATGCTGCCCCCCTCCTGGCCCCCTGGTACATTTGGTCTACATCCGCTACTGTTCCTCACCTTCACTAGACGTGGAAATACTTTAGTATATTCTGCTGTAAAATTAGTCCTACATTTTTGTTTTTTACTAGAGGATTCAACCTCTGCTGTTTCACAGGATGCTTTCACAGGTGGTAACTAGGTGACTGCCAGAGAGTAACCCCGAAAAAATTATGGGACTGATCCAATCAGCCCTCTGATCAACCGGTCTCCTGGAACGCTGGTTGAACAGAGCATTGCTTTTGGACAGATACGCTGCACAGGTTTCACCAGTAATCTCCTCCTCACACCCCGCTCTCTCTTGTTGCGCTCACATGATGCATGAATTATTGCCTGTTCGCTCTCGCTCTCATTAAAAAAACACCACCTCCCATAGTCTGAAATCTGGGATAATTTATCCGACTCGCCGGCATCCATGAACAACTATCGATATCAGGGAGACTCCCGGGAACTTCCGGGAGACTTGGGATGTCTGGTGTTGTGTTCCTTTAGATAAATATGCGCTGTGCTGCTGCCATCAACACCTTATTTTATAGATGTTGGAGATTGGCCTGTTTTTCCAGTGTAGTCCTGTTTCTCTGGCTGTGACTGGCTAGATGAGCTCTCTTCATCCTCTGATATATGAGCTGGCTCAGAGCTCGTCTGTCTGGCTGTCTGTTTCCTGGACAGGACCACCTTTTACCTTTTTGTATCTCTGCTTCTGTCTCCTTGAACCCCAGTCGGCCTCAGCAGATGGCCGCTCACACTGAGCCTGGTGCTGCTGGAGGTTTCTTCCTGTTAAAAGGGAGTTTTTCCTCTCCACTGTCGCTACAAGCATGCTTAGTGTGAGGGATTGCTGAAGAGTCAGTGAGTCGATGCAATCAACTGATTTTCCTTAGATAGAAAACTTTGAATCAATCTGACTGGATGATTTGGTGAACTGTAAAGTGCCTTGAGATGACATGTGTTGTGAATTGGCGCTAAAGAAATAAACTGAATTTAATTGAATTTTTCGGTTTTATGGCTTTTTGTTTTACTTCTGAGGTCATATAGAGTTCAAAACATTTGTGATTGCATGTCTTCCAAGTCTGGTAGAGAGAGGAAACAAATATGGATTAAAGAGGGGAAATTTTGTGTGTTTCAGTGTTTTGTTCTATTCAGAAATGCATTGATCTAACTGGGGATATTAATGTTGTAACTCAAAAGGCTGTTGAAGATGCTGATAGCTGTAGCAGTGTGTCTTGCACCAGATCTGTAGATACCTTTGAATGAAGACACCATGTTTTTGTGCAACAATCTGGTGAATAGGAGGCTCAGTGTCTTTAATTGTTAGTCCGGTGAAAAAATCAGATCTGTTTTGTTCAGACTGTCATGAAAAGATCAGATACAGGTCTAATCTGGGCAAAAAAAAATGGATTTGGGTCACTTCAGGTTGCAGTGTGAATGTACACAAAGTCAATGTGGAATCATAGTACTCAACTGGCTTCAAGAGTTATGCTTTTTATTTTTGTATTTCAAATCCATTAATATTTTTGATTCATCTTTATATGAAATCATTGGCATTTTTGCTCAAGAGCTTCAAGGTCATGTGATCAATTGATTCAAAATCAGTGTGGGATCATGGTACTCCACTGGCTTCATGAGATGCTCCTTTTATTTTTGCATTTGAAATCTCAAAATATTTTCAATTAATTTCATATATGGACCTAACTACTAACATTTTAGATCGATAGATTTTCAGCTTCAAAAAGTACACTTTTATTTTGCAAACAGGAAGTCGGTACCCAGTGCTTTTTTTTACTATAAAGTATGTAATACTGGTGCACTTGGAGTATTTCAGAGTTCTTCCTCCGTTCACAGTGTACCTTGAGCCAGGGGTGGATCTAAAGGGGTGGCCGGGGGGGTCTGTCACCACACAATCCGTACTGGTAGCACGATTCGTACGATACCAAAGCTGGTATTGATAACAATATTCCTTTAACAAGATCGATTCTTCTTATTTTCTGCCACATGCACTAACTGCAGCAGATTCACCAGTCTCCCCATCTGTGTTACAGCACTTTACTGCTCCCCCTTCACTTCTCGTCACCCGCTCAGCCTGGCACCTCAGCTCTCTCTCCACTCGACACACAAACGCGATGCTGCCTCTCAGACGCCGGAGCAGAAAAAGATGAAGAAGAGGAAACGAAGCACAGTTTGTCTATATTATAATGCCGTAAATGAAACAACGGTAAGCTGTCTGGTTTGTATAAAGCTGGTTAAAAGTTTATATAAGTACATGCAAAACCATAAGCAAGAAAACGAGCCACGGAAAAGGAGAGAGGAGACAAAACTTGGCTCATGGCCCTGACAGAACCTCGACCCTCAGACAGTCGTCACTGATAGAGGTCTTTATATTAATGCACTGAACTTCCTTATCAATGCATTTTTGCACTGTTTTTTTTCTCTTTTTCGCCCACACTGTTTACATTTGATCACTGCTGCACTTTATGCAATGTAAATGTTCATTTACTCTCTATAATCTGTACTAAATGAAATTCTGTTTTGTATATACTCTGTGTATACAATACAAGACTAAAAGTTGTCTAAATCTAAGTCTAGGTAAGTTCAGACCTCAAAAGAATATCCAGATAGATAACAGTCATCACCTTCATATTAACTTTTAAAGTAGATAATATATGTCATATGTTGCTGGACCCACTTAGAAAGTGTAATTAAGACCTTGAAAGAACCCAGTATATTTATCCCATTAATAAAAAGGTATGTAAGTGGGCTATATAAACTAATCCTTTATTTATCCCACAACGGGGCATTTATAGATTTAAAGCAACAGGCAAGTGCACACAATGCAAACAAAATTACATAAGGATTGAAATATATTATATAAAATAGGTGGATTAGTAAAAAAACACTATTAACTGAACATTACTGATATTGTTATTCAGTTGTAACAATTAAATAAAAATCACAAAAGGTCAACAGGGCCATGATACATCAAGTTTAAATGTAAAAAGTGTTCGTATCGTATTCATATCGGCGATACTGACCCTGTATTTACTTAGTATTGTATCAATTAAAAATTCACCCTCCTCTAGCACCATCAGCTCATTTGCACATGTGCAACCAGATATACATCCGGGTCGCCCTTGATTGCACTTTATAAAATGCATCTAAATAAATTTTTTTCCTCCCTAAAAATAGTACGCGTACTAAACTATAATGTGTTAAAGGTTAATACGGTATTTCCTAAGAAAAGTAAAGCAGTAAAATCCTTTCTGTTTTATCGCTGGTCTGTGCACGGCCTGTCCTGGAAATGGAATCTTTCGCTACTTCTGGGAGCTAACTTTTTTGGCTTTGGATTCAAACATGAATCTAGTTTTTTTGAATTTTGGTTTTTTTCCTTTTGTGTAAACCTTATGGTATACCGTGCAGAATCGAAAGAAAGAAACAACTAAAATGGAGACAAACATGGTTTAATTATATTTTGCCAGACTACTCTTATACTACTAAAGAAAAGTCATAGGTATTTTTTAAGATGTATATTAGCATTCTTTACTGATTTAAGAATAAAAATAAGTACTTTTAGTACCATAATTACATTATTTCTGGCAGCCTGATTGAATATCTGCTTGCATATGCGTAAATGAGCTGATGGTATGGATCGTGCCGCCCATAGCCAATCATTGGTCACCCCAACCAGGCGATTTGTTGATCCCCTGGGATTTAATTCAATACCTAAGCCTGGTTGTTGCAGCAGTGATACAATCATGTGGAATTTCTTCCTTTGACATTTTAACGCTGGAATATTAACCAAAAGCTGAATACAAAAATGCAGCATAAAATCATTCACAACACTATACTACAAATAAAGAGGATGAATATAGAACGTTTTCTCTGTTATGGATTTGTTTTTAGGTTTTATGGGAGCGTTTGTCTCTGCAGTCATCTTCGCTACAGATAAAAAAAATATTGCTCAACTAATTTAATGTATATGTTATATAGAACCATAAATTAATTTAAACTGCACTAATGAATAAATATATACATAACTTTATCATCAAGGACCCTAATGAAATCTATCTTCAGTGATTTAAAGATGTTGTGCATGTTCATTGTCCTGTTGGTTTATTTTGATCGGTATAGATTGACCATAAGATGTTTTTGGCGCCTATCAGTTTTCAGCCACCTCTCATTGCATATTGGCCCCTGTCTGAACAGTCCTATGCAGATTTTTTGGAACCACCCCTGGCCAGGCACCATGCTAATGTGGCCCCCTCTGGAAATCCCTTAGCTGCCTATTGGCCACCACAGTAAAGATTCCCTGGAACTGCCACTGCTGCGGGAAGAGGAGATTCACCGGAGCATCTGTGAAATATCTATCGATCATCCAACTTATAACTAACTTAACTGCGGTTGTTTTGATGCCGTTATTCCAGCAGACAATGGCAGAAGAGATGACACTATTCACACGGTGCATGCACTAAAGAAGCAGAGCTTCCTTAGGAAGTACAGTCTGCTGTCCCTTCACAGTTGTATTTCCAGTCCAGTCAGCTGCCCAATGCTCCTCCACCACATCCAGTTCTTTCCCCATGACTGGATTAACTGTATTTGACTAGTTCCATTTTCTTCTGAAATCTACAATCTTCTCTCTAAATTTTTTCTCCTTAGGGATCAGATGATACATCAGATCTACACCTGCCACAAAGCCACTTACCAGCTCCCTTTGCTCACCTTTTGATCTTTTGATCCATCTCGGATGCAGCCAGTCAGTCTCATGAAAGAACTGTTCTTATGCACAAATTCTTTCTGAATATTTTCCTTGCAGTAACTTAGAAGGTGAATTCACAATTTTTCTTCAAATATCTGTATGTCAACCATGATAAATCTTTTGTTTTACTCAGGGTTAAATAAGAACATGTTTTGATTTATTTTGCTATCAGAAACAGATCTGTAGCTGCAGAACATATTCCAATTTTCCTCTATTATAGGTAAATAAAAACTGGGATGAATAAAAAGAGGTCTATAGCCCCTTCATTTAATGTTGCTTTGTAAACCGAGGACATCAAATCAGAGCCCTGAACATCCTCTTTATTCAAAATCCAACCCCAACAGATAATGCATTTATCCCACAGAATACACAGAGGTTTATTTCAATGCTCAGCCCTCCATTCATAAACCAATATCCACCTAAAAATAAATAACATCAACAGCATTTTTGGTCAGATGCTGCAACTTAACCAAGTCTTGCATTCTGTGCTTTATTTTCTTAGATCCTATGATCTGCAGTTGCAGAAGGCACACATTGGACTCTGCTTTAAGCTTTTAGTGTATCAAAGAGGAATAAAATAGGACTAAGCAAGGCGCTTCGTTTCCTGATGCTTTCAAGGATTTCTCATTTCTGGTGCTGTAAATGTAAACTATAACCCCCGTCTCCGAATATAAAAGAAAAGTAACTTTAAACTCTGTGGTGAAATATAAACATGCTGGATTGTAAACATCAGGAAGGTTTTAGCCCACTCAAGGGAGAATTTTGATAGTTCACTGCAGCTCTGACAGACTTCAAACCAGTCTGGATGGAGAAAGGTTTGCAAATGCAGAAGTTAAGTGACCACAGAAAATATTTCCTTTTACCCCCTCCTACATCAAGTGTTTACTAAATGTTTATTTAAGGAGCAGAGGGGATGTCTTTTTTTTTTTTTTTTTGTTAAACCTGGTTTTACCATTTCAAGACAGACTACCGTATAAAGAAGGTAATATTTCAAACAGTCTGTAGCGTCTTATGCTAGTAGAAATCATTGTAAACATCAGTTTGATGTTGCATCAAATTCCCACTTTTTACTTGTAAACAAACTTTTTATCAGGAAGATTTTTTTTAAGACCATCAGCGTATTTTGTAGTTGGAGAAATCATTAAGAAAATCATTTAAAAAAAAAATAATTTTACCTGTAAAGGTTTGTTGATCTTTAAACTTAATGAGCTGGTCAGAAATGATTCATACCTGTAATTATTTGGGAGCAAATCATTTCCAAAAACAGCAAAGCAATGAAATGAACAAGAAGTTTGTTTCTCTGCTGTGGAAGCATGACCTCCTACATGTTTAGGAATTTATTTTCTGAAAATCTTTCAGGTAGTGGAAACGTCACTCTGATTCTTCTTCCTGATTGAACCACAGTGTAGATGTGAGTGTGACATCTTGGAGCTTAGAGTTTTATTTTAACTGGCTGGAAGAAGTTTGTGGGTTTTTGGTCTGATCCGATCAGGTTATTTATCCGTGCATCATCCTAAATCTTATCTCCACAGTAGTGTGTTTGATGTAGTGTATTCAGACGCTGTCATTTCCCACAGACACAACAAGCTGCACTGGTTCCTTCGGTCTGGTCCCAGTTGACCATTGGTCATACAGTGTTGGGGAGGTAAAGAGAACAGAGCAGCATGTTCTGCCCCAAAGCCGGGAAGCGTCTGATGGCCTCCCAGCCGTCAGAGAATATGTTGTATTTCAGAAAGACGCGGTGCTCCAGGCTGGTGGGCAGCCCGATGTCCCGGCTCATGATGTAAACGCCGTCGTTGTGCAGCGTGCACGTCAGGTTCAAGCCTGACTTGGACGTGTTCTCCTTCAGATGGGTCCACTCCCCCGTTGAGACGTTGTATGACTGCACCGTCAGAACGTCCTCTGTCTGGCTGGGACGCCGCTGCCTCCGGCCTGCCTCCAGTTCGTGGGTGTAGCCGCCCACCAGGAAGATGGTGTCCTCCACCGAGAGCATCTGCTGCTTCCGGATGTGAGCCGGACACGTCTGGAACACCGACCAGCTGTCGGAGGTGGGGCAGTACCGTAGAACGCTGGTGTTTCTATCTGTCAAAAAATGCATTACATGAACAAGAACTTCACAGCCGTCAATAAATCTGTTAAGATACAAACCTCTTGCAGTGTATCCACCCATGACGTAGATCATACCCTGACACTCACAGGCTGAGAACTCAGCCAGAGGGTCGGGCATAGAAGACACACAGGTCCACCAGTCCTGCTCAGGGCCGTAACACTCCACAGTGCCCAGACACTGACCTCCCACAGCGTACAGCTTCCCCTGCACAGCAAGCAGCTTAAAGTTTGACCTGGATATGAAGACAAGGACATCGAAACGTGACGATTATTTATGTTGCATTTGTAATGTAACAATCACAAAACAAACATACATTTATCATATACTATATATTGTATATTGTATGTTTTATATTGTATATAGCTGTAGATTCTGTATATATATATAATTTGTCTGCATCATCAACGCAAAGTCAAATTCCTTGTAAGCAGAGGTGTCAAGTAACAAAGTACAAATACTTTGTTACTGTACTTAAGTACACTTTTTAGGTATCTATAATTTACATTCCATTACTTATTTTTCTTCCTACGCCTTATTTCTACTCATTACAGTTTCACACAAGTATCTGTATTTTCTACTCCTTACATTTTTAAAACAAATGTTACTCGTTACTCTTGGCTTTGGTTTAATGTTTATAAATATTATTTCACGTCATGTGCTCCATCCAATGCAGATCATTGGCTCCATCCACATCTAGTGAAAACTAGTGTAATTGGATGAGTCATGTAACGCAAGCACTCATTGGTTAGCTAAAGGAAATCATCAGAAGCAAGCAGGTGTTCTTCAAACTGCAAATGTGAATTGTCTATGCCATGCTACAATGTCAGATTCAGAAAAAGATGTTGAAATGTCTGAAAGGTCGGGCACAGGCGGGAGCTAATCGAGAGAAGGAGACCAACAAGACCTCCCTCATCCTCGGCTCTATCTCAAAGAATTTTTCAAAATAGTTGGAAAATTGAGCTTTAAATTCATATAGTGGCAACTGGCTGTTTTTTTTTTTAAAGGTTACTTTAGATTTATTTTGTAATTTTGTATACACAAGTGTAGACAAAAAGAAATTTCGTTTAGAACAGCTCTCTAGACAATTTATTTTTTAAAGTGCAGCCTTGATAAGGTAAGCAGCAGTTGTCATTGAGCAGCTACTAGTACTGCCTCCAGCTCCTGACTCAGGGGAGGAAGAGGACTATGATGATGATGATGATGCTGTGAGGGTGGTAGCTTCAACAGAGGCTGACGTCGTTGAAGCAGCAGTGGTGCCATCGGCAGGTTTAGCAGCGACAGACAATGCTGGAGAAGGTGTGGAAGCTGGAGGGGGCCGGGAGGAGACGGCTGGGAATGTTTAAGCATTTGGAAAGGAAGCATCTATAGTGCTCTCCTCATTTTCACCTGCACCTTTATACTTTTATACTTTAAATAGTTTCTGGAGCACATACTTTTTCACTTTTACATGAGCAAAAAGGTCAAGTTGATACTTCAACTTTTACCGGAGTGTTTTTAGACTGCAGTATCTATACTTCTACTTAAGTAACAAATGTGTGTACTTGTAAGTGCAAACCTAATTGGCAATGAATCTTATTCTCTAAATCCCATTATTTACTAAAACTAGGTACAAATTACAGGCTAACCCTTTAAAGTTGTTGGATTGAAAGGCAGGAGAATAAAAAATTGTAGTTTAAAATAAGTTATTGTACTTATTGTACGAGGGGCGTTCAACAAGTAATGCCCCTGACCCACTTCCAGATGTTTGATCGAGCTGAAATTTTGCATGTGACGTTATTTAAATCTCTATAGATTAAGCAGCAGATTACAGCTCTGAACTATTTGTGGGTTCTGACTTACAGGTTTTTGAATTGAGTCTGAGTTTCAGAGACTTTTGACCAAATGAAAGAACTTATAGTGATAATGTCCCATAATTATCACTATAAGGGTGACCAGGCCACAACCAATGTACGCTGAAGAGTGGCTGAAAGTGGATCGGCACCAGAACCTCTGGGTCAATCTATAGTGATCCAACAGGGAAAAACAGTCTGAAATGGAGCCTGTTGAGTGTCAAGCAGTGATCTGTTTTTTCTATTGGAAAGGACTCACACCAGGGGAGACTTTTGATGAAATTAAAGTAACTTATGGTGATGATGCCCTTTATATGACCTTGCAAATGTTTTACAAGGTTATACACTATAAGTTACTTTCATTTGATCAAAAGTCTCCCAAACTCAGACTCAATTTGAACACCTGTAAATCAGAAACCACAATTGGTTCAGAGCTGGAGTTTGCTATTTAATCTATAGAGATTTAAAATGCTTCACATGCACATTTTCAGCTGGATCAAACATCTGGAAGTGGGTCAGGGGTATTGCTTATTGAACGCCCCCAAAATCAAAATGACTAATTTCCAATCAAACACATCACAGGAAGGCTACCGTTTCTGATTGAGAGGAGCCACCTGGCTCCACTCGTTCCTGCAGGGGTTGTAGCAATGCACTGCAGAGATCTCCTGGTTTGTCATCCTGTATCCTCCCGCTATGAACAGGTAGTTATCCAGGACTGCAGATCCAAACCCCCTGACGTTGATCATGTCTGAGGTCAGGTTGTTGGCCAGAGGTTTCCACCGCTGCTCCACCTCTCCGTACCGAAGCATAGACCAGGGTTCGTCCTGCTCGGGCACATCCAGGGACAGACATTTGAAGTCTCCGATGGCCACCAGGGTGGCGGTGCCCTTCATGCGCATCTCCCGGACCTGATCCCTCACAGCTGGGGGCAGACTGTGGAACTCAGGCCGCCGCAGCATCGGATGATAGTAACAGCTCATGTATTTGAGGCAGGCGTTCCTCAGATCGTGGGTCCCATAAACTTCAGAAAGGCTGTAAAGTTCAACGCAGTTCTCCGGCCGGATCTCTGAGCTCAGCAGCTTCATGATGGAGGTGACCTGCAGAAAGGAAGCAGTCTCGATCAGATCCTCCAGTGTCTCGTTGACCACCTGGACGTTTGAGGTGTTGATGAACTCCAAGACGAGCTCCAGGCCCGGGATGCTCAGCCCGTGCAGCTGGACGGAGTCCTCCGTGGACTCCCTCATCCCGGAGCTGTACAGCGCTCGGAAGTAGTCGCTTTTCTCGATCAGCTTCCTTTTATTCACCTCGTAGGTCCTGTCATCCACCACGATGGCTATAATCTGATCCGCTGACATGTTTTCCCTGCTGTGTGTCAGCCTCCTGGATGATTTTGCAGTTCACCGGCGGGGCAACGCCGTGTGCGGTCTATATATGGTCATGTTCATCCCATAGTTTCCATGGAGCTAACCGGCTAGTCGGTTAGCAGAGACGGTTAGAGATAAAAAAAAAAAAAAAAAAAAAAAAAATAAACAACCACTTTTTTGGTGTTAACAATCGTCCATAGATCAAAAAAAAGTAGAATTCAGACAAAAAAGTGTCTAAATGATATCAATTAGTATTTTAGACATTTGAAATCACGATTTTTTTTTACATTTCATAAGCTCTTTCTTGGACGAACTGCCAGAAAGGTTCAATGTTTTGATTCTTTGCTTCCTCGCTGTGGAATTGTCTGCTGTGTTGAGGCGCGCATGTGCGTGTACTGCCACCTAGCGGTTTGTTTGTGAATGGCATGTCGTCCGAAAATCTGAAATGTCTAAAAAAAAAAAAAAAAGAGACAAAGAGTGTAAAAATGGATCACATAAAGAAAAATTGCTTTGTTAGAGCAGCCGAGACCAGACGCCTTTTTTTATCTTCATATATTTTTAGGTCCTCCATACATTTTAATTTAGGACATTAGTTTCGTGATTGTATTAAAAAATAAAACATGTATAATAAATATTTTTCATTGTCATGAAATCTAATTCTAACATTGTAGAAAATAATACTTAACTTTTTGAAGAAAATAAAAAAATGTTAAATTGTATCTTTTTTTTTTTTCAGCTGTCCCCAATACTTTGGACTTTTTAAGGAAAGACAGTGATATTCAGTGTTTTCTGTATTAGCGGAAGTGCTTTTTTATATAAGTAAATGTGCATTACAAAGTATTTAGGACATCCTGGACTTTCTTAAGCCCAGTTCCTTCAGGGTTAAACTCAACTGAGCTGATCTGATGCGCCTCTCCTGCTGTCAGTCAAGATAACACTAGTTATAACAATGGTGGCGTCAGTCAGTGGATTTAAAAGGTTTAACAACGATGGAGAAAAGCGCTGAGAAGTCATCCAGTCTGCGACAGGAAGCTGAGCTTTCAAAACAAAAGCCCTTAACAAATTTTCTGGAGTTTATATATCACTGCTAAATCTCTGCTTTTCATGTTTTCGTATGGTGCATTTTTTCCAAGATAAATTAGAATAGATCACATGCTTTGGGGAAAAAAACACCGTTGCCACCAGGGAAGGCCTTTGGACATTTTTTCACCCCTTTTAAATTGTTCTTTTTTTTTTAGGACTTATTGAATTGATGGTTTAGGTGTTTTTCTTTTTAATGGAACATGCCCTAACATTAACCCCCTTAAATTAACAATAGTATAATAAAATACATCAAATTTTCTTCTGACTTTTTATTCAAGTTAAATGCTTTCACCTAATTCCCCTGTTGCCCTAATGCAGCCTAATTAAGAAAAACCTTCTGGAACACAACTACACAAGCATATAGTAGAATCACAGCATTTCCTGTATATCTCTATCTCTTTATATATATATATATATAAAGCAAATGTGTGTGTGTGTCGGTGTATGTATGTATGTATGTATGTATAATTACATTTTATAAAAACCGTGGTACTTTGACAACATTAATAAAAATGGTTGAGATAAATAATTCTGCTAATATTAGTTGTAACATTAACAATTATAATCAAAATAGAAAACTGTATTAATGCACTCTATTTTCTTAAAATAAAAACATTGAAATCAAAAAGAAAATATAAGAAAATAATTCAAAAGATCAGCGGTAAAAGCATGAAACCTAAACTACTACCAAATATGTATACATAACTATGTACCTCAAATATAGCCAAGGAAATGAAAATAAAATCAAATAAATTCATGATTATAGAATTATTTTTAGTTTTATTTGATAGTGGATTTTAACAAAGTGCTTTACTAAATTAATGCTTTTAATTTGAAATCCCAGAAAGGAAGAAGCGCTGTGTAATTTTCTGTAGGTGTTTTCGTCAGGAGGAGGAAGGCAGGCGCATCAATGACAGGGACAGCAGACACACCATCAGCGCTCGGCCTGCTTCACGTTCACAGCTCCAGGCAACGAGCTGCCAGCTGTTTGTGACCCGAGCTGAGGATGTGGGAGCAGGTGCGCACCTCCTGCTTCTCCCGCTGCCTGTCTCCCATCCACCCCTTCATCCTCCTCCTCATCTTCATCATCATCAGCGCTCACAGATCAGCGGCAGAAGGAGACCTGCCGCCGTGCGACAAGGTGGGAGTCTGTTTTGCTTAAAATGTCATTATTTTTACTCCTTATTTAATAACACAGTTCTGTTAGATAAACATTCCCTCAAGCTTATATAAATACCCTAACACAATAAATAGATCTTTATTGGTATAGAGCTTCACTCTATTCCCAAAAGCTTCTTCTCTGTGATGTTGTTCGGCTTAAAACGCGTTTCTTTCACCATAAACTGGCTTCAGACGCGGTCTGCTGGCCTCAGACGCTCCTATGGGTCCCAATATCCTCTGGTTTGTTTTTAATCAGCCAATCCAAAGCAGATCCCGGCTGCCAGGTGCAAAGCTGCACTCCATTGAAAACACTTTCCCTTTTTAAGTCAGGAAACCTTTGGGTTTTGTATTTTATAGTTAATAATCTAAGCTAAGAGCAATGTTAGACATGTCAAATCTGTGGCAAAACCAGTTGAGATTATACTGGGTGCAATTACATGACAGCCATATTGGATTTTGGTGTCAGTGAGAAAAAAGCACTTAACTTTCCAAGTCCTGAATTTTAACTTCAGTTGATTATATTTCTCAAAATATGACCTAAACTCTTTATGGCCTTCACAGAATCAGACACACAGACAGGGGATGAGGCAGAGGGGTTCTGGAGATGCTGGAGGCAGTGGCAGAGCTAGATTGGGGGCCAGGGGTGGCCATGGCCACCTTTACCCAATCATTGGCCACCCCTTCCATTTTTTCCCCCCCATAACACTGACAGTGGCAGCAGTAATGCTCTCAATATTCAAAACATTTGAATTTTTCATAGATTAACAATTACTTGACAACAGAAACACTGTGGATAAATTATACGCATTAATATACTAACAATAAAGATAATAAGTACAGAATTCCTGCTCTTTTCAGAACTAGATTTTTTTTGTTATATGGGGTGAAGAGAAAATGCAATTCAGTCTTCAGTTAAATCATAAATAAATAACTATTCTAATAAAAGCTTAGTAGATAAACAATTTTTGTAGATATTAGTACTTGTATATATAAATTTTAATGCAGAATGATTGTTGATTAAAGTAGTTGAATAAAGACAGTGGAAAAGATGTTCGAACCAGAACTCAAACCTGAAAGAACTTTATCCACCATGCATTTTAACTAGATGGATGTTTAAATATATGTGTCTATTTGTTAGCAAAGGCTGCAGGAAAGTATAGTTAGTCTTTATTTGGAGAATATGGTTGTTAATTTTCCTGTTGGATCAGTATAGATTGACCCTAAAGTTCTGGTGCCGATCTGCTTTTGACCACCCTTCAGCGTACATTGGTTACTGCCTGGCCACCCTTATAAAAATGTTCTGGCTACGCCTCTGGCTGGAGGTGATGCTAGGAGAGAAAGAAGTCGTTCACCACATCATCTAATATAATAACTGTACCACCAAAAGTGAGTATCCTGGGTTAGTAAAAAAAAAACACGTCAAAAAGAAAAAAAACCTGCACAGTTTCACTTCTTTTGACTGTTGGTAATTTTTTTTATGTTTCTTTTTGACATTTTCTTTATTACAAACAAATGATACAAAAAAGAAAACAGCTCCAAGCTTAGACAAAAAAATAAAAATAAAAAATTTTTTATAAGGGTGGCCAGATGTAACCAATGTACGCTGAAGGATGGCTGAAAGCCACAACATCCATATTTTCTAAATAAAGACAAACTATACTTTCCTACAGCCTTTGCTAACAAACAGACGCATATATTTAAAAATCCATCTAGATAAAAGATCTTGGTGATAAAATTCTTTCAGGTTTGAGTTCTGGGTTGAACATATTTTCCATTGTCATTACTTACCTACATTTATCAACAATCATTCTGCATAAAATTGATATTTACAAGTACTAATATCTACAAAAATTGTTTATTTGCTAAGATTTTATTAGAATAGTTATTTATTTATTATTTAACTGAAGACTGACTTGCATTTTCTCTTTACCCCATATAACACAAAATCTAGTTCTGAAAATAGTAGGAATTCTGTACTTATCTTTAATGTTAGTATATTTATGTGTATAATTAACCAGTGTTTTTGTGGTCAAGTAATTGTTAATGTATGAAAAATTTAAAGTTTTGAATATTGAGAGTATTATTGCTGCCACTGTCAGTATTATGGGGGAAAAAATGGTAGGGGTGGCCATGGCCCCCCCTCTAGCTCCGCCCCTGGTTGTGGGACATCCGGTCAAGTCTTCTTTCTACTGTAGTCTGTAAAAGGCCGTCAAAAGTTTGCAAACTGCCATGATTGTCCGACAGTTTCAATCTTATCTCTTTGAGGTACAAGGAAGACACCTAATCATTAAATAATTTATGATAATAGGTTTTCTCTTTTTTAATTTTTAAGAGAAATAAAAGGAAACTGTTTTTGCATTTTTTGTGAAACATAACTACTTGTTGAACCGAATGAGAGCAGGACAGTATCTGAGTCAAAGTATTATGATCAAAGCGTTTGTTTTTATCCTTTCATAAATTATACTATAAAAGGTAAATTGGTCAAATAATTTACCATTTATCATTTATAAAAGGGAAAAATATCAAACCAAAAAATTTAAACATGGGGCAAAAAAATAAAAAATAAATGATCCAGTGTAACATTACAAATTTTACATCAATCACATTTTAGGTTAACAGAAGGACAAAGTTACTTTAGCTTGGTTTTAAAATAATTCAGTCAATATGGCCTTAATCTGTCTGAGCTGAACATGTTTTGAACCCATTCAAAGTTTTCTTCAATTAAACATCTGGAAAAGCTACTTTTATATCTTTTATCCAGGCTTCTATGATATGGACAGGAGGAGTCACCATTAAGAAAAGTTCAACAAATTGTGAAATTAAGTATTTTGCTGTAGAAGATTCCCTCAGACTCTCATAAAACCCATGTTGTATCTGTGTACGTTTTCCAACTTGGTGATTGTCTGACAAAACTGCAATTGCCAAAAAAGAAGAAAAGTCAAAGCGGGGAAATCAGCTCTATTTTCAACCCAGCAAATAATAGAAATGTATTATCAAAAGAAAATCCTTTCAATGCAAAACAAAGGATTATATAAATTGTTTTCTAAATCTTTTCATTGTGTAAATTTGTCTCTTTTTTTTTAACACCAAACTTCTAAAATCCTTTTTTTGTTTTTTGCTTTTTAAGTAGATAAAACTCTATAAATCGACTATAAATCAGAAATATAAAATATTAAAAGTTCCATCTGTTTTAGAAAAATTGGGAAAATGATATACATACTTGATATTTAATGGCCTTTTAGAGTTTTTTGTTTTTTTCTCTTATGCCTGCATGAAGAAACTGCTGCTTTTTGGCAGCACTAGTAAACTTTATCCATTTATCAACTTGATACCAATTTTTAGGAAGAAAACTGCTTTTAAAATCTTGCCTTCTGCAGTACAACTGTTAAAGAAGCACTGAAGTATTTATAAGTACCAGAGATCAAAAACTTGATGCAAGTTTATTAATAATAATATTAATAATAATAATAAAGTAGAGATTGATGAGAAAAAAACCCTCTAAATATTTTTGTCTATTGGTGTTTTATATTTTTCCACTTGCAAGCCAATTCGTTTTACCTTTGAGCTCAGATGGGAAACAGGATGAGCTACGAGTTTGTAAATCCTTGAAAAGCAGACAGATGACTGCCAACACTAACCTAAATTTCCATTATAGATACAAAGAAATAACAACATGGAGAACTGTATTTAAAGACTGTGTCTTTGTGACAGCCATGTTGGATATGAATATCCTGATTGGATGGAAAACTTTCTGACTTATGAGGGAGTTTCTGTTGATTTATACCACAATAAAACTAGAAATTATGACTTTTGGGTTCAGGTTAAATAAAAAAAGAATCACAAATTCAGAATAAGTATTTTTGTAAGAATTACTTTAAAAGTCATAAGATCTTAAATCTCTATTACGGCTGCTCATTTAGAATGTCTTAGAATAATGAGCTGCAAGCAGCCATGTTGGATTCTGACATCAGTGTTTATGAATGTGGATATTTTACTCATATTTTCAACTTTTAGCATTGATGTTAGGACTTTGAGTTCAAACTGAAATAGGAGGAAATGTCCCTAAACCTGTGCTTTACATCCATTTTAGCAGCTGTGAGATCAGAACAAAGTAAAAACTGTAATAATGAACTATTTGAGTAGCATCCATGTTGGATTTTCACATCAGATGGGTAAAAAAATCTACTTGGTAGTATTCTAGAAAATATTAAAAGTAGGATTTATTTGACTTTAAAGCTATTTGTGTTGCAGTCTAATTCCTTTTTTTTCCTGAGAACATAAAGTATAATTCATGACCTGGAAAATGGCTGTAAGTGTAAGAGTAGCAACTGGACTGCAGATAGGGTAGTTTTGGTGAGTTTTATTTGGTCTCTGATGAGGGAAAGTTGATTAAAAATCAAACAAATGTCCTATTAAGTTTATTGTTACTAACCCTTTTAATATATTTTAGTACTAGATATTTAAATCATAGTAGCAGGAAAAAAGCTTCCAGTTCAAATGATGCATGCAATAAAAATACAGAATTGATTATCTAAAAAGGAACCAGAACCCCCCCATTTTCCAATGTTGCAAAAGAACTCTGTTGATACTGGCTTTAGTTAATGATAATATTGATTCAACCATATGTTTAAAAAAACATGTGATGAGTTTATTCCTGATGAATGTTTGCTCTGTGTGGGTAAACATAATCTGAACCCGACAGGAGGAAGGAAATCCTTGACTGACTTATTTATTTTTTTCTCTCTTTCTCATGATAGATTAAACAAACATCTTTTACGTCACATCTATACAGATTAGCGTTCCATCTTTCTTATGTTATGTTAAATCCTAAAACCCCCTGACTGCTGTGCTCAAGAGCTAAATTTTACCGTCTCCCTTCCTGCCTCCAGTTTCCATGACAGCCAGAGTGAATCACCCTGGAGACTAGTGAAACAGATTAGTCTGTGTCCCTTTTTCTCAGTCTTACCTTTTTCCTCCACTGTCAACAGGGATATTTAAATGGCAGTGGAGGCTAAATTCCCTGCATGCTAATTGAGTGTTTGCTTGACTTTTTTTTCCACACAAAGCAAAGCAACAATCAGTTTATTTGTTCTGCTGGATGAGATACAGATGCTCACTGTGAATAACTAGCATGATTTAGTCATAAATGCTGAATTTGGATCCATATTCAAACCTGACCTGTTTCTGCAAAGCCTCCCTTTCACCGCTTCTTTTCCCTGCAGATGCTTTTCCTCTTATATTTGCAGTATGTTTAGATAAATTAGCAGCAAAGTGAATTTTGCTACACTGCAGACCACCGCCTGTTTTGATTTTCTGGGGAAGAGATACTTTGGACTCGCATAGAAAGCAAAACATTTGTTTAGGTTTTATCACATGGCTACAGCTCACGATAAGTGATGGCCATTCATTTATTTTTTGAGCAGTCTGAGATGTAGTTAATATTTTATGATGATATGACAGATTAAACTTTATCTAAAGCAAAAATCATAGATTTTACTGAGTTCATTACTGCATTTAAAAAGAAAAGGTTTCTTCGATCATTTTAAGTTTAATAAGTCTGATATGATGTTAATCAACCGTGTTATTGATGCCAATGAATAAAAAATGTATGGGAAATGGAGAAATATAAACTACTAATCAACAGGAGGGAAGAGGTACGAATTGTAGCTGATTACAATCTTTAAAAGTACCAAGGTATGGGGAGTGGCGGCCTAGTGATTAGGGCATTGCGGTTGGAATCCAGAGGTGCTGAGTTCAAGCCCCACTCCCACTGACTGCCCCTTTGGGTTCCCTGTGCAAAGGCCCTTAACCCCGCACAGCTCCCCAGTTGCTGTACAATGGCAGCCCACTGCCACAAGGGGATGGGTTAAATGCAGAGAGTTAATTTCATTGCTTTGTACTTGTGAGAGTGTAATGACAATAAAAGCAGGGGGGGGAAATATGGAGTCAGAGATTTTTGGGATCTATTTACTAAAATATATTGGTTTATAGCTGTATGACCTAATAAATCTAAGAAGGGAGATTAGAAAAGGAAAAAGAATTAATATCCAAGATTCTTGTCTAGTGGAGAACTGAACATCTTTCACCTCAGAATCTGCCTGTTTGGTAGCAACACCTCTATAAGCAGACTTTGTCCACACATATCTCTGGTTCCTTAACAGGGACACTTCAAATAAAAATGCATCATATCAAATTTACCTGATTAAATGGTCTTAAGGAAGTGTCATGGTCCATACAAAATTGGCCTGGATGTTGAAGATTAATGTTAAAACAAAAAAATTTAAAAACAAAAACAAAACGGTGTTATAATTAGAAAAAAAGACAGAAAACACAAACAGGCTTACATTTAAAGGCAGCTGGACTTTCACAATTTTTTTTGTAGATGTTTCAACACCTATCCAGGAGACTTTGTCAATACTCTGATGTATTTAAGCAGCATGGAGGACAAAAGTCTTTAGCTTAGTCTATGCAGACCTCAGATCACTGTGAAATGTTCATGATTAAACGTAAAGGATTAAACAAATACGGCCTCCGTGGTAGCTTGTACATTTGCTCTTCTCTGTATTGAAAGAGTAGAGTTTTTATTTGCTAAGAGGAAACTTGTAGAACAATGTCTTTTGGACAAGTAAAGATGTTTGGCTAACACTATGGGGGGACACAATGCTTCATGGAAACCAGGCATAGTTTAGTAGTCCAAATGCCTTATATCAGCAGCCAAGCATGGTGGTGGAGGGTTAATGATTTGGGCCCATTTCTGAACCCTCAGGACCTGTACAGCAATAACCTCATCACAAACTACCCAAAAAAAAGCTTCTGCAGAAACATCTGAGTAATCAGCAACTGAGAGTTATTCTGCAGAAGATTGGTTTAACTAGTTTGGGGGTATACTTAGTTGTTTTTTCCCCACCATGACTGTGATGTCATTCATGGAAGCTTTGAATGCACTACAAGCCTTGATTAACATCTCATCTACATGGCGGCCGAGAGCCGCATCACAGAACATCTCAGTCAACGTTCTGGGAGTTTGAACGGCGAGCGACAACCAGCCGTCCTTGACAAGAAACCAAATGACCTGCTGTTGTCCTCCTAATGGAGCCATTAAAGTTCCAACAAGCTGTTGCCATGGTGATCAGGGACAGTCACTAAAAGCCATTCATGTCTTTTATACAACCAGCCCTTTAACATGTGGTCATGCAGTATTATTACCTTGCTAAAACGTGTCCAGTGTCGCTCTCCCAGGTTCGACCACATTTCCTTTTTTCCATTGGGACCAATAGAGAGTCATTTCCCTACTGGGTATGTTAATAAGCAGAAGTTCTTATAAATAAATACTTTTCCCAGTATTTCAAAATATCTTTTTATTTAATTATCAAAGCAGAGTTTGCAGTTAGATTTGCATGTTTCAATGTAAATGTGGGGAAAATAAATGGAATCAAACTCAGTGACTTTGAATCAATCCAGCAATAAACAGAAATGTCAGATCAGCGTGATTTAGAACATAGGAACAGGATTTATGAAAAGAAGAGTTGTAAAAGTCTGTAATTTAATACTGGCGCTGTGTAGTAGTAGGGTGTGGACAAAGATTAGTAATTTCATCCAGCCAAGTTAGGCATATATTTAAAGCCTTACTATTGTGGAAATATCTGCTGTAAATCATCAAGCTGTGTTTTTTTTCTGTTTTTGTTGAAGAAATTCTAAAATTTGGAAGAAAATGAATGAAAATGATAAAATACCAATAGGAAGGAATCAGGAATTTCACTTGAAACCTGTAAAGAAAACATGTATTAAATATGTGTTGGAAAATGTAGGATGTTCTATTTTTTGTCAACACCAAAGTGGTTGATAGTACAGCTTGGTGAATTATTGCACAACTCTGTGAATCATCAATGGTATAACACGCCTGCTATATCAGTAAAAAAATCACAATTTTTAGGACAGATGGCAGCCTATAATATTCTCAGTTGAAAAGGACTAAAGCATTAACAAAATTCCAAGATTCCACTTTTAGATATATGTTCTGTTAACTACAAATATTTACTTTTTCATTTAGATAGTATTTTTTTCGTTACATTGGCACAATTATTTAAAAAAAAAAAAATCAATAAAACCGCCAAGTCCCCCACAAAAAAATCACAAAAAAATAGAAAGTTATTATATCCTAACAAGCATCTATTACAATCTCAATAATTTGTACAGAAAGATTTGCTTAATTCATATTTAACATTAAACCAGATTGGCTTAAAGAAACAACTTTTCTCCTTCCAGGAAACTAGCAATTATCTCTGAGGAGCATTTTTGTTATATATCCATGTCTTCTGTAAATAAGTAAAATTTTTTGTGTGAAAATGGATATTGATGTGCAAATTAATTGTGTAAAAATCATGTTTGTGTTTTTAAATAAAGCATAGGCTCTTATAAATTTCTGTACAGTATGTAAGAGAACCAGGACCAAAGTGGTATGCTAACTCGGGAATATTTGCACTGCTTTTGCATGTTTTCTGCAGGGAGACTACTACTATCAGTACACAGAGTGCGACAGCACTGGGTCAAGATGGAGGGTGGCCATCCCTCTCACTCCAGGCTCCTGCTTGGGCCTTCCATCTCCAACCAGAGGAACAGACTGCTGTAAGCTGTGATTGAATGTTTGCTCTACAAACATGTTTCTGCATGTAATCGAAGGTAACCTGCTTCTTCCCTGCAGCCTTCTCCTGTCCGGCAGGGATGTTTTTGGAGATGTCCACCCAGCTGTGCACGCCGTGTGCAGCTGGATCATATTCTTTGGGCAGCGGTCTGCGGTTTGACCAATGGGATGCCATTCCTGCTGGCTTCACAAGCCTGGCCAGCTTTTTGGATCCTGGACCAAATGGAGAGGACATTCAGGCCTGTAACAGGTAACAAAGGAATAAGAGGTACATACATTCTAACTGTAAAAAAAACAAAATTATGATTACCGTGTGGTTGTTCCAGCTCATCGTGGACGCCACAGGGTCTGTACCTGGAGTCCAACCGCGACGAGTGCACGGTGTCCCTAGTTTATGCCGTCCATCTAGAAAAACAGGGATCAGTGTCTTTCACCTATCAGTATCCAGACAACAACATTTTCTTTGAGTTCTATGTAAGCAACAAGAACCATACCTGGACGATGACATGCTCTGAGTCTAACTATGTGGGGCTCATGTATTGTGATTATCTCTGTCCAGGTTCAGAACGAGCAGTGCCAGGAGATGTCCCAGACGGACGACCAGAAGTGGATTAAAGTCACCAACAGTGGAGAATGGGGAACACACACAGTGAGTACCAGGTTCTGTCGGTTCCCCTCGGGGAATAGTTAATAGATTCCTCACCAAGAATGCCTCCTGTTTAGGTGAGCCTGAAGTCGGGCACAAACATCCTGTACTGGAGAACAACAGGGATACTGGTGGGAGGGAAGATGGTGAAACCAGTGCTGCTGAAGAACATCCAAATAGAAGGTAAGATCAACATATATTCTAGTAGAAGACAAATTGAAAATATCAGAATGATTAAAAGCTGAGTGTTGCTGCAGGTGTCGCCTACACGTCGGAGTGTTTTCCATGTCGGCCCGGCTGGTTTAGTCCGATGCCCGGTTCCTCATCCTGCCAAGCGTGTCCAAGCAACACTTACTCTGGAAAGGGAGCATCCGCCTGTTCAGCCTGCCCAGAACATTACTACTCTCGTACGTACACAGAGAAACCAAAGTACTCCTAAAGCACTTAAATTAAGTCAGACAGGTCCAAGGCTAGTCCATTCAATGTAATCCTGCTTAGTTTTGTTAAGCTGTCCCTTTCACAGTCAGATTAGTTGGAGTCCAGTTGGATCAGATTTTCCTTCTACTATTAGGGTAGTATGGATATATGTAAGGAAATAGAATATATTGAGTTGTAGCTCCATTCGAAGCAAGTACCTGGTGACAGGGGAGAGAAACAACTCTCTTTTAACTACTATTGGAACCAAATTAATGTGGATCAACCATCGGTCAAAACTGAGGAATGAGTAATTTAGTGGACAAAAAAATATATAAAATAGTAAAAAATAAGTAATAGTGGAATAAAATGGTTCTTAATAAACTATAATAAACTCTTGCTGAGATGCTTAAACTTGGAAACGATGGAAATAACAGCATCTGTGTTGACGTAGCCCTCCTGTACAGACTAATGCAAATCAACATTAAAATCATCTAGAATTGATGGTCCTTGCAGGATTCTGAAGATAACTTGTGGGATACATTCAGAACACTTTGTGTTTCTTATCAAAAGGAGCTATTTTTCTTTAGTTATTAGAATGCACTCAGCTGCTGTAGTTTGATCAAAGCAGTTGATTTCTGAGGAGGGACCATTTTAAGATTCTCGGAGGAGAGCTGGTCCCATATGAGGCCCTTTTATATTAGTGATTGTACCATATCAGGACAATGGAGTTAAGAAAAACGCACACACCTCCCAATTGTGCAGAGGTTCTGCTTGATGGAAAACTAAAGGAAGTATTTATTTGTAGCCTGAAACTTGTTTGGGGTACGAAAATGGCTAAATGAATTTTACCAGATTTAAGGCAGGACTCGTTTAAAGACTCGTAGGTTTCTAACCTTTGGTTTGATCAGTTCATAGTGACTGCTAAATTAAAAACGCACAGATTTTGGATTGCATGATTGCTTCTGACTTCAGCTGCCATGATGTTTGCACAGAGATCTGCACAAGACTGATATGCTCTGTGAAGGATAGTTACCATACTGTATGCAAAGATCCCCCTTACTTGTCTGAAACTGGCAATAGTGCTCGAGAAACCTGCTGTATTTATTAGGAAATGCCTTAGATTGCTTTAACCCGCTGTTATACCTGTAGCGTTGAAGTAGGATGGCTGGAAAAACCTTTGCCTTTGGGGATGAAGCAGCAGATAAATATTCAGTCATTAAGGTATAAAGTAGATTCATGGTCATCCACAGTAAACATCCTTTAATAACCTTAAGATCAACACTGATTATGTTTTTCTGAGGAGACATGACTTCATGGTCTCTTATTTGTATGTAAAAAGCTGCAGAACATAATATTTCATGAAACAGGGTTTCAACCTCAGTGACCCTTATCCATGTATGGCTAAGGCCAATACATCTCCATGCAAATCCAGACAGAACAGCGCACATTCAAGGGCTCAGGGAACAGAAGTGTTTTCCTCAGTCTAGACTCCGGTTCAACAGTGCTGTTACCTTGGCTAACATTTGCCTGAAGCATGTTTATAAAGTTACTGATAATGAAAGCTTTATGAGGGAAACAAAATCACATTAATCTGAAATAATGTTGAATTTGCTATTTGTATTTTTGTCTTTTAAGGCTTTGTTTTTATCAGGTTATAACACTACAACACATTTCCCTTCAACATTTTAGATGGCAGTAGTTTATCTCCAGAGAAACATCCAGTTATTGGGATCTCATTATTTTCCCAAATGTTCTGTAGTTATTTACGGCTAGATTAACTATAACCTCCCTGTCATTTATGGTTTTAGCTTAGGGTTGCAAAAAAGCTAATTAGAGGAGCATTTCTTTTTCAGGGGAATTGTACCAGATAAATCTCACATTATGGGAGGAAAATTATTTCATGGCAGTAATGGGGGAAAAACTGTGTCCCTATATCATAAAAAATTGCACCTTTGTTTTTGCAGCATAACCAAATACATTTAGGTCTGATTCTAGTTGCCAGCTTTTTATTTTTGTGTTGCATCTCTGCAGGCTGACTCTCTGTGTTTAAATCCTTTTTTGCTCAGATGAGGGATGGGCTGAATGTAAGGTGAGACCACCGTGCTCGGAGAAGGATTACTTCCAGATTCACTCGGCTTGTGACAGCGAGGGAAAGGTCAGAGGTTTCAGATTTCACCTGCGCACTGACATATGTACCTGTTTTTTTTTATGGCCTTTATCAGCCATGCACTCGCTCTGTTTTGGTTGAACCCTGTCGCTTGGTTACAGACACAGGTGCTTTATCGTTGGGTGGAGCCAAAAATCTGCGTGGAGAATGTTAAGGGGGCCGTCAACCTGCCTGCGACCGGACAGAGAGAGCCCTGCCCCCCCTGCAACCCTGGCTACTACAACAGCAACGACTCCACCTGTCTGCCCTGCCCTCCTGGAACACACTCTGATGGCACCTATGGTAAGAAAAATAGTAAAATACACCTGCCTCAGGTTGCTTAGCCAAGTTTTTTATTGCTGCTTCATGTTAGGACACTTTTGCACAATCATCTCTGCGTTTATTGTAAGTCTCTTTTGTGATGAGTGATTTCAATAGTTGCTGTTGCTGCAGGGCCAATTGCCAAACTTTGTAAGATATCCATCAGCTGCTTCATCAGAGTCTAAGTATGTTTCTGGTACTGACATAATGCTAAGTGTAACTGACTCTGTCCATTCATTGTTATAAATTGTTGACCCAGCTGGTTGATCCACCCATGAACAGAGAGTTCCTGTTCAAACACAGCATTTTAACCTGCAGGTTTTTATCCCTGTGTGTCTGAATTGATTTCTGGATGTTGTATTTGGGTTTGCACCAGCGTGTGTCGAGTGCCCCGCAGGTACTGAACCCGTGTTGGGCTACGAGTACAAATGGTGGAACGTGCTTCCACCCAACATGAAGACCTCTTGTTTCAACGTGGGGAACTCCAAATGTGACGACATGAACGGTGAGCACATTAACACCCATTCATACTTCAGTGAATTTTCATGTGACACAAAGTAGTTCCTAATAATGGGTGGATGGACAATGGACAAACTTTTTGTTAATACATCTCAAAAGTGCGTCATGCTTTTATTAGCAGTCACTTCAAAGAACAACCATTCATTGTGTTTCTAGCTGCTAGCATTCGCAGTGGTGCATCTACCAGCTTTTCACATCTATAATCTCACTTTTTTTTTTTTTTACAATTCTTTTCGATATAGCTCAAGTTCAGACATTAAGTTCAGGGTCATAATTCTGCAAAAAGGTTCAAATCTTTCACTCACTTTATCAGGTTTTCTTTCAATATTGTCAATTTTCCATCAACTTTGACCAGCTTCTCTTTCCCTGCTGTAGGAAAGCTTCCCCAGAAACAGACTCTGTTACTACAAAGTGTCACTGTGGGGAAGATTCTTGTATTCTGTTTATAAGAACTTTCCCCAACACTCTGCATTTGTCATTTACCCGCTTAGAGTACCATTATCTACAATATTTTCTGTTCTGCAAACCAAAACAGAAGTTTCTGGCTTTCTTTTAGTAGTTGCTTTCCTCTTAAAGGGGTCATAGAATGCAAAACCGAGTTTACATCGTCATAGATGAATAACGATAGTTCAGTGGGTGAAATTGGCGTACAGAGTAGCTCAAACCCCATCGACACCTCAGTTCTCTGTAAATCTCACAATTCTAAACATCATAAAATCGGCTAACAAAGCACCGAATTTACGTCAATGCTGGGCCACTGACTGGACCGGATCGGGCATTTGAACCGAGCCATCAGCTCCGGGGCTGGTCCGAACCTGACCCGGTTACTGTATGATTACCCCGCCTGCCTTACCGGGCTGGACGGGGGAAGCACGGGGCCGCCATCGTCCAGGCTACCGTCACCGGGTCGGGTTTGGTCGCTCCATCCCCGGCTGGCTCCCTGCCCCCGTCCGCTGGGGTTCCCGGACCAGCCCCGGAGCTGACGGCTCGGTCCTGCTGCACTGTAGTCGACCAAAATCCTGGACGATTTTTAAATTCCCCACTGACATTTTTTTAGGTATGAAAAGTAGGACATGTCTGGGATAAAGGGGACGTCTGGTCACCCTACCATATCAACAATTTGATGTTTCAGTGAGTGAGTGCTTGTTGCTATGATGCGTCTTTGCTCAGCAGCTTTGCTCGTTTTAAACCAACCAATCAGCGTACAGCTCATGTAAATATTAATGAGCATAACATAAAAGGAAGAAAACCTGTTGTTTCATTCTAAGGCTTTTAACCAGGCTTGCATTAGGGATCATAGAACAGCAAATATACAATTTTCAGCAAAACCAATGTTACACATTTATTGTTATTCAGAGACCTTAAGGACCAGCGCCAGATACCCTATAGAATCATTCTATGACCCCTTTAACACTTTTCCAGAGTGCATGAAATATTTTTATCCTGAATTAAGATTCCCCCTCTGGAGCTACCCACAACACTCTACATTTTTCAGATTAGAAAGAATTAAAAGATAAAATATTCAAATTTTGCCCTGTAAATAGGTTAAGAACAACCTGCTTACCTATTATGAATGAAATAGTAAAAATATATTTAACTCTTAACTAAATGTTATTAAAAGTTTAAATTGTTTTGGAGTAAAAAGCTATTTTAAGCTTTAGTTTAAAGCACATTTTGATATATATTGACTGAACCAATGATCACTAGATCAAAACTGTTTTGGCTGCTTTGTTGATGCTCTACATTCAATAAAAGACTTACACAAAATGTGCATTTTTCATTTCATTAACTCAGCAATACACATTTGTTGTGTATGCTATATGATGTTTATTTCCATTCCAAATATATTCAGTGTGATGGTGAATTCATGTCTGTTTCTCCTCAGGATGGGAGGTGGCTGGAGACCACATTCGGAGCGGGGCAGGGAGTTCAGATAATGATTACCTCATCCTTACCCTGCATGTCCCTGGATTTAAGTAAGATTGTTTTCCTGTATAACTCTGGGCTCATTCCTATTAGTTTTTTCATTCCGGAAGCAACTCCTATTATATTTATTATATTTTATCATTACTTATATATATATATATATATATTTTTTTTTTATTTTTTTTTATTTTAGAACTGTAAATTTACAGTTATTTTTACTTTATTTACATTTTACTTTATTTTTCAAGGCTGCATTTTTAAAAGACGAAATTGTCCAGTGAGCCGTTTCCAAACGACATATCTTTTTGTTTTACACCTGTGTTAACAAAATGACAAATGAAATCTGTCTAAAGTCTAAAACTCTGGTATGGAGGACCAGCTCTACCATATTTGAAAATAAATACAGAAATAAATAAATGCTCAATAAATATATAAGCATACAATTAATTGCCCTCAAAAATCCAATAAATAAATAAATGTAGGTAGAAATTGAACTATACATAAATATATCTATTTTAATTAGCTTCTTTATTTTTTTGCCTTTGTAATAATTACCTTATTTATTTATTGTTCGTCATAATCTTCAACAAATGAATAGGGTAAAAAAAAAATACAAAGAATAAAGAAGAATAAAACAGACTAAAATATTATAACATGCACATAAATAAATACTTTAAAAAATAAGTAATTAATAAATTAAGTTGAAGATTATAATGGACAATAAATAAATAACATTTATGTCTCACTCTAACTACTTTTATATTTTTATTGTATTTTTGGGGGCAATTAATTGTATGCTTATTTATTGAGCATTTATTTATTTATGCATTTATTTTTAAACATGGTAGAGCTGGTCCTCCATACTCTGGTGCTTGATGAGAGTCATAACAGGCTGCTTGTCCATCTATTCTTACCAAAACAAATTACCTACTGAATACACAAAACCGTAGAATATTATCTCTTAGAAGACAACCAGCCCCAAACTGTTTACATATGGAAGTGTTTTGATTCCAGGTTTGAACAGAACCCTAAAATGTTTAGACATTGGACAGAAAATAAAAGCTAATGAAGAAGATTTTGTGAAAATCTACTTGAAACCACAAAAAAGGAGCGTTGGTATAAATAAAAAAGAAAATGAAAGACTTCTACGTTCCTGTAGAAATATAACAAGCTTTGTGGCAATTTAACATCAGTGTTTGGAGATTCTGAACATCCTAGATCGATGGTTTCAGGGTACCTGCATCGCTCGCTGGGATGACCGGTGGAGAGTTTGGCAGGATCACCTTTGTGTTCGAGACCATCTGCTCTGCTGACTGTGAGCTCTACTTCATGATGGTGTGTGTCTCAGCACGTATTGGATTGGAGTGGAAGTAAAGATAGTACTAGTTACTAGTGAGTAAATGCTCTCTCTGTCTTCTCTTGTGGTGCCCCCTGCAGGATGTAAACAGGAAGAGCACCACAGTGGTGGAGTCCTGGGAGGGCAGTAAGGGGAAGCAGGCGTTCTCACACAGCATGACCAGAAACGCCTCTGTTACGTTTACTTGGGCTTTTCAGAGGACAAGCCACGCTCTGGATGTGGGTAAAACCTGCGCAAACCAGCAAGAAAACCATCTCAACATCCTGCATTGCTTGTTTAAAACCAGCAGATTACATGTGTAGGTTCGCCGTTACATCAGCGACACAGTGAAGATCTACTCCATCAGTGTGACCAACGTCCTGGAAGGGGTTGCGTCGGCGTGCCGAGCCTGTGCTCTCATTCCGCAGAACTCCCAGCAGGCCGGCTCCTCCTGCGTTCCCTGCCCCGCCGGCTTCTTCATCGATCGGGACACTAACCGATGCCAGGAGTGTCCACCAAACACCCACCTAGCTGGGCGGCACACCTACGGCCGGGATGCTTGCATTGCCTGTGGACCTGGAAGTATCAGCAACAAGGTGCAGAGATCGTCTACTCCCCATCTGGAATGTCAATCTGAGACTATTTAGAGGTTCATGTTTTCTGCAATGATGCCACCAAAAGAGAAACAATCCTATAAAGCCTAGTTTGTCGTTTTATAATTTAGGCTTCCATCATAAATTTTCATATACTTTTTAAAATAAAAGCTTGACTTATTTTACAGGTGGAAGTAAATGTCTGTGAACAGGAATTTATATGACCTTTTAAATCATAATCATATATTCATTAGTAAATACAAGAAAACAGTTTTTCAAACACTTGTTCTCTTATCTAAAACAAAATCCATCAGTCCTCTTTTTGCTTTCTGGTCTTTGTTGACAATCACACCAGCAAGTCTTCAGAATGCTAATGGAGCTAAATGTTTAATTAAAACAGCAGCGTGCTTGCCTTTCAGAATAAGGCTCATACATATTTCCCCCCCAAATAATAAACATACAAACCTTTTATCATTCAGATGATTGTACAAGTGGATCTAAATTACTTCTGGGGTTAAATTAAATGGAATTCTTAAATAAAAACTTGGGTATGCTTTTCAAAATAAAAGCTTGCTCTTATTTAAGACTTTCCAAAAGTTGTTTCCCACTTATTTTTGGACTTCCCAAAATGGATGTAAGCTTGTTGCAAAGGAGAAACTTTCTTATGCTGGACAGACCTTACTAAGAGGCAAATGCTTAAGAAGAATTGATGCAACTATTGTTGTTGTTGTGTTGTTTCTTTCAGGAGCATTCCCGCTGCTTCAGCGACTGCTCATTCATTCACACAGAGAACAACAGAACACTGACCTTTGACCTCAGCCCTATGAGTGACGCGGCTTCGTTGATATTGGGGCCAAGTTTTACCTCCAAAGGCACAAAGTATCTTCACCTGTTCAACATCAGCCTCTGTGGCCACAAGGTAACTCCCTAAATCATTGAGCACTTACTGTAGAAACATGTTTAAACATTACATAATTTTTTTTTGCTTGTAGCATTAAAGCTTTAGCCAAAACTGCATCATTAATCAATTAAGCAGCGGTGGAAAGAAGATGGATAACGACTATTGTCATTAATGGAAGCTTGTGTGAAGTGCTGTTGCTCATATTCTGAGCTCGTTTCTATCCTAAATTTGTACTTTTCGTCATTGCCAGACAATTATTTTCTTCATTTAATTGAAGTTACTTGTCTAGGTTCAACTTTGCAAAGCTCATTCTTTCAGCACTTTCAAACTCTAATAGCATCTAATTACATCTAATAGTATTATTTTATTTTTATTATTTCTTCATAAAATAAATATGTGTTAAGATAATAATACTTTATGTAAGACTTTTAAATCTATTTCCTACTTATTTTTTAACTGAGTTTTTATTTATTATTTTGCAGGACTTATTTTTTTTATGTCCTACTCTTTTTTATCACTTTGTTTGTTTTTTGAGATTTTCCTTTTGTTTAACACTTTCTTTCAACCTCATTACAAAAATGTCCAAAACTAAACTCAGAAAATAAATTTCTTGTTTGAAAAAAGGGGCAACGAGGGCAGAAGATCTATGAATCATTTCAATCTGAAAAACTCACACGGAGAGAAAAGACAATTTAGAAATGTATTGATACAATTACTTTGTCTTTGGTGCTCAGACCTCGGCAGGTAACATAATGCTGAATTTTGATAGATATGCATGAATCGTAAAGAACACAGCTGTTTCCCCCTGGGCCTGAAACTAGTGGTGGAATGGAGATAGATGAAGTTGGTCAGTCTGTAGACTGCTGGTTAGCGAGAGACGGTATGCTGAGCTTTATGGGGAGATCCAGTCGACTGCGTGAGCTGATGGTAGAGTTTCACTAAGAGATCTGGAAGATGGAAGTCCAGCTTGGATAACATAGGTTGAGAGAACCTGTCCATGATGAGCAAGCATGAAGCGAGAGTGGAGAGGAAAAACTCCTCATTGGGAAGTAACCTCTGGTAGAACCAGGCTCAACATGGTGGTCTTCTAACAGACCGGTTAATGAAACTCTGATTACATTTTAGCTATGATGGTGGATTAGGGGATGGAGGTGGGTTAAAATGGGGTCATCTGGATGAAGTCGCACAGCACAACCACCGCCTGCACACAGGAGCAGACGAGTTGCTGATCGGATGCCTTTTAAGATGAATTTTGGATACCAATTGGCTTTTGTGGAGGTGTGGTTCAAAGCTGCTTGGCTGTGTCGTAGGAGTATGAAGGCGAGTAATCAGCTTTTTCAATGGAGCTTTCTCCTACTCTCCATATTTAATTAAAGAAAACTTGGAAGGTAGAATAAGTTACAGAATTTGAGGTTGAGGGGAAGAAAAAGAGAAATTTAAAATACAAAAAACATCTGGATTTTAAATGCAGTTTAAAAACCTACAAGTGGCCAAACCCACAATTTTGATAAATTATGTTTGATTTAAAGTTAGAAATAATAAATTTGATCCTTCTAGTCTATATAAAATAAAACCTTGTAGACTAGTAGCACTTTATGTCAGCGTTTGCTGTTGTTAAAGTGTTTTATGAATAAACTTGTTAAAAATGATGATAAAGGTGATGAAGAACTTGCCTATAAAAACTAAAAAATAATATTCCTTTGACTTCCCTCTCCTTCTAAGGGAAGAAGAGCTGCCGTCTGCACCGATAACGTCACAGATGTGTCCAGCAAAGATGAGCAGAGTGATTTGTCTCAGTTCTTCAACACGGTGGACAGCTTCCTCTGCCAGTCAACCATCATCCCTGGAGATGGGCGGGGCTTCAGGCTGCCCATTTCCTCGCAGTCCATTAGTCTGGCTGACACCTTCATAGGTATAAACTTTCGATCTGCATGTGCGCTATGTTGGGCGTTCTGCTGGTAAAAACTGATGACTCTGTTCAGGAGCAACAGTGGACACTGTTCTCGACGGAATAAACGCTGAGCCGGATCTGTTCCCTGAGAATCCAAACGACATTCCAGACATCAACTTCTTCTACAGGTGGAGAAAGACAGAGGAAGAAGACTATTATCTAGTGTGGTTGGTTTTAGATATTAATGAGTTTTAATCTTTCCTTCAGGTCAATGCAGGCCACGGCCTCATGTGATCAGGGTCGAAGTTCTGTCATCACGGTTCGCTGCAATCCAGAAAAGTCTGAGCGAGGACAACTCTCCGTGCCCAGGTACATCTGCCATGGTCCCCTCAGAGGCTTTGAGGCCCAGCTTTTATTAAGATTTCTTTAGATTTAAAAAAGAGAAAACAAAAAAGTTTGGAAAATATATGTATTTCTAGAATTTATTACCATCGTGGTTCATCCATCCAAGCTTCCTGTAGAAATATCAACTGTATATTTTAAAATAATCTAAGGCAGAATCTGTTTTTACTTTGTAAAAAGGACTGAACCCTTTAGATTGAACAAATAAAACTTTTATTTTGGAAATACTAACATCCTGATTTTTAGTGTGGAGAATTATGGTAATAGTTGTCTTTGATTCAAAGCTTTGATATATGGAGTCTGTGCCATAATAACAGCAATAACTTCACATAAATAAAGACAGAAATCAGAATAATTTTAGTTTTACGATACTTGATATTTTCACCTCAAAAACTTGGAGCCCAAAGGTTTTACACCATGTTTTACTTTTGACCCTTATTCTGCATTTTCTCCTGACTTGTGTTTGTGCAGCTCCTGTTCTGCAGGAACATGTGATGGATGCACCTTTCACTTCCTGTGGGAGAGCTCCAGCGCCTGTCCACTCTGCACTGAGGCCGACTACCATCTCATACAGGGAGCCTGCAAAGGAGGAGTCCAGGTAACACGGAGACAAACATCTTCCCTTTACTTTCTTCTTGTAGATTGATATCTGCCACCTACGATCTTGGAACTATTTTGTTTTAGGAAACTCTGTACATGTGGAACGAACCAAAACTGTGCACCAAAGGAGTGGCACTGCCTTCTCGGAGCTCCACTCCCTGCGAGGTCATCGCTCTGTGGCTGAAGGTTGGGCTTGGTGTTGGTGCCTTTGTCGCTGTGCTGCTTGTGTCCCTCACCTTCTATTTCTGGAAAAAAAACAAGAGGTGAGATACACCTGCGCACAGCAAGGTGCTCATTAAGGTCTGACTGTAAGGCTGATTAAAAAGGGAACGTGTCACCATTGATGACAGGGTGGCGGCCGGCTGGAGCCGAGTCATATTACTATTTTACCTGACATCTTAGTGACATCAGAATGAAACAATTGACACATTTCATGAAAGCTGAAAAGGATTTCTTTGTCACCAGGTTGGAATACAAATACTCTCGCCTGGTGATGTCTGCGAACAAGGAGGGTGAGCTGCCAGCTGCAGACAGCTGTGGCTTGGCTGAAGGAGAGGAGTTTGAGGATGATGTGGTCTACACCAAGAAACCCACCCTGTTGGGGAAACTCAGAGCCATCGCCAATAAGGTGTGTGGAAATGTTTTATGTGTGAAAATTTAAACCTGTTGGTAGCTTTGTTTAATCAATCTAATTAGATTTGTGCTTTTCAGCAGGAGCAGGGAGAGAGCAGCGAGTCGGTGCAGCTGAACTCTTCTCAGGCAGATCGATGGGTCCTGGGATAAACTGATGATGTGTTTCATAATGGCCGTTGATACAGTCACTGTCCAGAGTCATGTGTGTCTTTTTCTAAAGTGGGGGATAAGCTGCAGACCTTTAATGGAGGGCAGTCTGGACAATTATTTCAGCCCTAAATTGTGATATTTCCTCACAGTTTTACTCCATGGATGCGAAACTGAACCAAACCGATATGTCCTTTTAATGTTTTTTGTATGTTTTGTATTTTATTTGTTATTTTCTGTTCAGGGTCTTGTATTTATATTATTCTAAACAAACTTTATTAAAGTCCTGTTTGACTTTATAAAAAGGTCTCTAAGATTAATGTCTAACAACATTTCAACTTCGGCAGGCCGGTGAATGGAGGTGAGCTTTGTACAAAAACAACTTCTAAAGCTAACATGCAAATATATTTCACTTTTAATCATTGTTGTCCAAAGTGTGGCGTGGGGATCATGTGGGGCTATTAGGATGATTTTGTGAGGTCCTTCACCAAATTTCAACAGAGGCATAAATATGGTTGCCAGTTTGGGCAGTTGATGCAGAAACTGTTGTTTTAGAAGCAGAAGTAGGCTAACAATACTCTATTGCTCATGTTGTTGGTAGAGAAAGCTAAGAAATATAAAGCTGATTCATTCTAGTTTTGTTCAAAATTAAAATTTTTAACAGGATAATATAGATTGAACTGGACAGAAGGCCTGCATAAGAAGCTGAATAATTTTAGAGCAAAGTTGCAAACAACATTAAGACTAAAAGAGATAACAACCAACATGTAAATTTAAGACCTAATAAAGGGGGAATGGATTTTGGATTTTCTTGAAGGGCTCTACATTTTTTTCTTGTTTTGTTGCAACTGTTACGTCATATTATCAAAAGATGCAGATGAAACAAGACAGTTTTGAGAAAGGAGTAGACACAGTATAGATATTTGTGTTGAAATGTAGGGTAAAAGTCAAAAGTAAATAGTGTTAACAGGGTTTATATTTTCCAAAAATGAGCTCAAAGATATATTTATTGAATGCTCTCCTATTGTTGAAAAAAAAAGAGTACCACAGTACATTGATATTTATAGTTACAGACAGATGTCTGCCTTTAGTGCGTTATTTAAAAAGGGCTCAAAAACATTAATGGTTAAAAAAATTATAAATAACAGCCAATACCGATGCCAACAGCAATATCTCATGCATCCCTAGTATGAATTCCATCCATCCATCCATGCATGGCTTTCCTTTCAGCTGCATCAGTGATTATCCTCCTTCACAAGCAGCAAAATGAAATTTAGAAATTTGTCCCATATGTTGTTGAGAGCTAAAGTCTATATTTTGAACCTTATATTTCAAAAATAATTTATACACTGATTTGTATTATTTGTGCTTTAATTCTTGCTGGTTTCTTATACCTTAATTTTAAGTCTGTGTCCTGTGAGTCTGGCTGTGTCTGGGCTGGGTGGCACAGCTATTTCTGAGTCTTGTTGAACTACAATAGACAAAAAGATATGATGAATTTTATTATAGCATAGCGTATTTTTTCTTGTAAACTTGGGGATATATTTTATTGCATGTTGCATATCCCAGTAAATCTCTTTCACCTTTAAATCAGCAGCTTTCCCTAATTGTGTCTCTGCTCTGCTTAAAAACAGATTTATGAACCTGTCTACCAATATAATGATGCTGGTTGTCCAAAGTGTGGTCCTCTAAGAAGCCCAGCCTTTTTTAACTTATATAAATGTACACACTGTTGCCATTTTTAGCTCCCTATGTGTAACGAAGGGATGTTTCACTTTTACTGAAACATATATCGAAGTAGCTGCAGGTTAAAATTAACTGAGTGCTGCTGTGTCTCTCCTCCTCCATGTAGCTACTCTGTATGCAGTGAATAGTGAGTGACCCCAAAATAATATAAAGTCCCAAAGCGACAGATCCGATGATATTTCACAGAGAGGTGGTAAGAACAGAACAGAGGGAGAACGAGTAAAAAACTGACTCAAAACTCTCTGAACACAGACAGCTGCACCCAACCCCAGTTACTGTTGGCTAAAGTAAATCAGCAGAAAGGGGGGAAAATAGCGGAAATGATTAGTGGGGACTGTCCCCTCAATGCCAAAGCTGGTGGGGACATGTCCACACCAGTCCTTCAGAAAGTTACGCCAGTGGCCGCTTGGTACTAGAGCTAATAAACGGCAAATCTGAAATTTTGATATTACTGCTTATTTCCTGTTCTGTGTCTATCCAGGGCTCTTCTAAGGGATTATGTTTTATCCATTTAGAGATGTATTGTAATCTATTTGCTAAATAGTAGTATTGGAAGTTAGGTAAATCTAGTCCCCCTCTGTCTTTAGTTTTCTGTAGTGTCTTTAAGCTGATGCAAGGGGGTTTATCTTTCCAAAGAAATTGATGGAAGAATCTAGAGATTTAAACCAGTCGGATGATGGTTTAATGGGGTAGTTATTCTGGGTAAGACCATCATTTTAATTGAGGCTACCCTACCCATAAGGGAGATCGGAAGTGATTTCCATCTTTCTAGGTCCTCTTCTATCTTTTTAAAAGCAGGATGTGGTTAAGTTTTGGTAAATCAGCTAATTTAGATGACACAGTAATTCCCAAATATTTGATATTTCCTGATTGCAACTGTAAACCTAAGGGATTCTATAGAGAGAGATTAATTGGTAGTACTATGGATTTAGACTAATTTATAGAGTAATATGAGACTTTTGAGTAAATTACACTAGTTTGACAAATTATTATATTTCAGTAGTTTAATATTTCCAGTTTTTCAGATTGTAGTATTTAAAATCTGCATTATGAGATCCTAAAAATGAGCATATTAAGCAATAATTGATATCCAACTATACTATTACTCTTTTAGCCTAATTTTGAGGTCATACCATACGATGACTCGTATTTAGCTTATTTATGAGGTCATACTATTCTATGTGTCATTTTAGGAAATAATTGAGGTGATGCTATACTATGACTTATTTTAACTAATTTTGAGGTCACACAATACTATCACTAATTTTAGCCTATTTTTGGGGTCATACCATTATATGACTTGTTTAGGCCAAATATTTTTCTTAAAATACTATGTCTCGCTTTAGCCCATTTTTGATGCCCAGCTATACTTTGATTTGTTTTAGCCAATTTTTGAGGTCATACTATACTATGACTCATTTTAGCCTAACTCTGACTTCATGCTATACTATGACCCGTTTTAGCCAATTTCTGAGGTCGTACTATATACTGTGTGTCTTTTTAGCTAAATCTTGAGGTCATACTATACTATGACTCTTTTGGCCTAGTTTTGACATCATACTATACTATGACTTGTTTAAGACAAATATTTAGGGCATACTGTACTATGACTAATTTTGTATTTGTGTTGTGGCTTTTGTATTTGTGTTGTGGCTTTTGTATTTGTGTTGCGGCTTTTGTATTTGTGTTGCGGCTTTTGTATTTGAGTTGTGGCTTTTGTATTTGTGTTGCGGCTTTTGTAATTGTGTTGCGGCATTTGTATTTATGTTGTGGCTTTTGTATTTGCGTTGCATCTTTTGTGTTTATGTTGCAGCTTTTGTATTTGTGTTGCAGCTTTTGTGTTTATGTTGCAGCTTTTGTATTTGCGTTGCAGCTTTTGTGTTTATGTTGCAGCTTTTGTATTTGCGTTGCAGCTTTTGTATTAGTGTTGATACCTCTGGGCCACCGTATTTTTGAGGTCATACTATACTATGACTCGTTATGATCAATTTTTGAGGTCATACTGTACTATGACTTGTTTTAGCCTAATTCAGATGTCATACTATACTATGACTAATTTTAGCCAATTATTTAGGACTTGCTATCTATGACTCATTTGAGCCTAATTCTGATGTCATACTATGCTACTGTATAACTTGTTTGAGCCAATTTTTGAGGTCATACTGTACTATGACTCATTTTAACCTAATTCTGATGTCATACTATACTATGACTTGTTTTAGCCAACTTTTAAGGTCATACTATACTATG